GATCTGTATCAAATATGACATCCCGGGTCTTTTTAATGAAATACATTTCTGCGGAAAGGCTTTGATAAATCATTATGGAAATGATCTTATGGTAAATATAGGTGGTGGAGTTCGTGGCCATGGTTCGAGGGTTTGAGTTTATCACTTCGATTCGATGGTTGAGAGGTGAGTTATCCTCACTATACTAAGGGGTTGAAGGCACCAATTCCTGCCCATTGGATATGTTATCTTAGCAGTAGGTATTATGGTGAGTATGAGTTAGTTTTGCATGCTAATTGCTATGCCAGTTTATAAGATCTGTAGGACTACCTGTGTTATTATTTGATTATCTGTATGTGCATTAGTTAGGTTATTTGTCGACATATTATGTGGGTGGGTTGAGGTTGTACTGCTCCGTGTGGTAGCCAACAAACCCTAGAGTATTCCACATATGAGCTGAGGGTCGGGCAGCACATGCCAGACTCATACTAAGGACTCGAGAGCATTTCAGATACAAGCTGAGGGCCGGGTAGGGCATGCCAAACTCGTACTGTGGGCTCGCGAGCATTCCAGATACGAGCAGAGGGTCGGGTAAGGCATACCAGACTCATACTGTGGACTCGGAGGCAATCCAGATGTGAGTTGTGGGCCCAGAAGGCAATCTAGACTCACACTGTGGGCCTAGGGGTAATCCAGTCTGTAAAGCTGAGGACCCAGTACATGTTGTTATTTGTAAACGTGTTATTTGCAGTGTATCAGTATTTTGAGGGAACTCACTAAGCTTTGAGCTTACAGTTTCAGTTTTGTTTCAGGTACATCAGATGATCACGGGAAAGCAAAGGCGTGATCATAGACTCCTCACATTTATGACTTTGTTTATAGGATACTCTGATATTTACTATTTTGAAAACAAGTTTTGTAATAATTAATGGTTTTGAAATGTTTTTAAAAGTTTAAATTTAACATGATTTTTATGGGTGTTACAACTTCACCCTTTGATTTTGTTTTGATGACAACATCAAAAAAATATGACATTGATTTGTCTCCTAGGGTAAGTCACTTCATCTTTGAAGGTTTTTTGCGAACATGAGGAGAGTTAAGAATAAGATTTTTGATGTTGTGAAAAGTGAATGCGGAAAAAATGATGTTGCGTTAAAATACACAAAATACAAATATATGTTTTTGGAAAGTTTTTGGGTTGAAGCAGGAAAAGAATGATAGAGAAATATCTATGGAAATAGATTTCTTTTATTTTTGGATAAATATATGTATGAACAGAGTTCGGCTCTGAGAATTTTGTTGCGTATGCTCGATGCCGACTTTGTAATGGAAGAAAAGGAAAAAAGAAACTTAACCTAGTAGATGATAGATGTTGTGAAGCAATTTATGGTCTCTGAAAATTAAACGCGAAGTGAAAAAAGAAAAATACTAATCTATTAAACACATCTCAATATCTCATATATTTGTATATTGAAATAACTAGATACATGAGGAATTGTTAGGAAAACTAATGGAAACCCAAATTGTATCGTATGTTGAGACTCTAATTTACTTAATCACTATGTCTTAAGTAAGTTTGTAAGTTTTAGTTTATTAAGAGATCAAAGTGTGACGTATAGTTTGAGTTATCTAAAGTAGTTGCAAAAAAATTAAAAATGAAAATCGAATGAGATCACATATATGATTAGTATAGTATGCAAATTTTTGGGATTTTAGTCTAAACCTCAAGTTGGAGGGGTTTGTATGTGAAAATAGTCCATCCGAAAATTGAAATGATTATAATACCCTTGGGTATATAATTTTCATTTTTTTTAAATTTAATATTTATTTATTTATTTTAATAATTAAAAAAATAATAAAGAACCCACCTCTCTCTCTATCTCTCTCTGTGTGTGTAAAAGTCAGTCAACCTTCCCCATTGAAGAGGTGCAAGAAATTCTCTCTCTGAACCAAATTGGAGGTATACTGGAAGAGTGAAAAAGACTGAAATGGGTGTTTGTTCTTGAGCTAAGTCGTTGCTGCCATAAACCACCCGTCCCTCACCATTGTTGGACCAAAAACCACCACCACCTCACTTCCCCCCCCCCCCCCCCCCCCCCCTTTTCCTCTCGTTAAATTATGTCAAGAACTGAAAAGGGAACCAATAGTGGCCAAGAACTGCCACCCTTGACCACCCATTGGTCACTGCCACAGGGAACCACCAGAAATCGCCGCCAGCATCCATCATCGTGTTCCCTTGGGCTACCAACGTAAACCACATCCACCCATTACCACCGTTCCGGAACAGAAACAAAAACGGAGCAATAAAAGGCCACCGAAGCAACCTCCTGCCACATACCGCCGCTGCTCGTCACTGTAGTCCAGCCACCACCTTCGTCACTGCAGTCCAACCACCACCCAAATACTTTGAAGGTTGAACTATGAATTTGATCAAGGAAACAACGTTCCAGGGATACAAGACCATCGATCTGATATTAATTATTTAACAATCGGAGTACCAAACTAAAACCAGGAATTAAGAATAACACCAGATGAAGATTAGGATATAGAAGAATCTAATTAGGGTTGGAGAACACATACAAATTAACAATCGGAGTACCAAACTCGTCACTGCAGTCCAGCGGCCACCTTCGTCTAGTCCTCTTCTTCTTTTGTCTTCCCCAAGTAGAATCTGCCCCCAAATCCCCACATTCTCCCCCGTTTTGACTCCTGATCACTCTTCAGAAAACAATTTAAAGATAAAATTGAACAATTATACTAACAAGAACAGCAACAGATTACTTAAAGGTACAAACTCTGCTAGAGAGAGATACAGAGAAAGGCATATGAACGAGGTTTGGTCGGCAGTGGGTTTACACAGGAGAGAGACGTGGATCCCAAATTAGGTAATTATTTTATTTTTTATTTAAATTAAATAGAAAAAGCATAAAAATATATATATATCAGAAAACCATAATAGTCTTTTCAATTTACGAGGGATTAAAAATGCAAAGAAATTAGCTCAAAAGGATCATCAATCCAAAAAATCGTAGTTTGGATTAAAACTTCAAAAATTTGCATACCACAGGGATCATTTTTGCAATTTTGTCTGGTATTTTTAATATTTAAGATTTGGTATAAGGGTAAATTAGTAATTTTAGAAAAATTAACTTGATAAATGTTAGTTTTAACAATTGAAGGACCAACTAGATTTTGAAATCACAAGGACCATCAATGCAATACTTTCCAACCTTATCCTCAATATGTTACTTTTCTGAAACCATAAGGACCAATCTTGAAATTTTGTCTTTTTTATATAATAAATCGGTTCCGTATAACTTAAAATTATTGAAAATAATTTATTTAAAAAAAAACAGTATTAACCCATTTAAAAAAAAAAAAAAAACCGTGTTGGATAAACCTAAAGTATAAAAAAATCATTGATTGTACACCTTGACATCAATAATCTTAAAACAATGATGAAATCATATAATGCAATACCTTGCATAGGTCATAATATATAGATTGTTCGACTTAATTGGAGATAAAAAAGCACATGTGCTTAAAGGTAGACAAAGCTTCATAAATGATAACATTTTTATGTAAAATATGTTAGGTTGGGATAAAAGTTGAAATTCATTAAAAAAAAAAAGTTTAGATTGCAACAAAAGTATCAATACCTATCTCATTTTCGATTTTCAAAGAAAGAGTAGCCGTCAACTTTATGGAGGACATGTATTTTCTTTGTTGAAATAGGCAAAATAGAAGTAAATCTTATATGTAAATATCTTTGACGTATTTTTATAGACAAGTAAAAGTAAAAAACGTTACAAATACAACCAAACTCATAAAACAAGCAGCTTCAAGACTTAAACAACCAATTTAGTTCCTTTTTTTGTTCAACCGGATCGGTTTTTTTTTTTTTTTTTTTTTTTTTTTTCTTTCTCAGTTGCATACTTCAATAAGTAAAGGATTTCAATACATGAACTTGTTAAGGTAAAATCCATGAAAACATAAAAATATATGTTGAATTTCATAATATATAATAGCAATAAATAATTGAGTAAATTACACGAATGATCCCTATGGTTTGGGGTAATTTGCGCGTTTGGTCCCTAACTTATTTTTTTAACTCGGAAGGTCCCTACTGATTGTTTTTATTACGTGTTTGGTCCATATTGTTTGTTTTTGTTACGCGTTTGGTCCCTATCATACCTAAACAGACTATTATTTAAATAGGAAAAAAATGATGAGTTACGTAAAATAAGGTGAGAAGGGTGAGATTAGGGGTGTGTTTATTTAAATAAATTAAAAAATAAAGGGAAAAATAGACTTTTTATGTAAGACAGAGACCAAACGCGTAATAAAAACAAACAGTAGGGACCTTTCGAGTTAAAAAAATAAGTTATGAACCAAACGTGCAAATTACCCTAAACCATAGGGACCATTAGTATAATTTACTCTGAATAATTTGAAAATTTACATCTAACAACACAAATAAATGTAGTGCAATAAAAAAACCAAAACACCTTAAATATTTAATCAAGTACGCATATGCATTTTTTTTCTTTATTAAGTGATGTATGGGTAAAATATTGATAGATTGATCATGTGTTGTCTTGATAAAGTGTTGTATCAAGAAATACAGTTTCTCTTTTATGCATAAAAATAATGCTGAAATAAAAATGTCTTCATATCTAAAAACTATTACGTTTTGTCCCTAAAGTTCATTAAATTAATATGAACGAGAGTAAATAACCATTTTATCTTTATGCATAAAAACAGTTAGAAAGCTCTTTATTACTAATTGTTTTAATATGAAGAATTTTGTGATTTATTTTAACAGTGTTTCATAAAATATAACGTTAGCTTTTAATTATATATCTAAATTTCATTTAATATTTTCTATCTAACTTATACAATCTAGTTTTTACCAAAATTATTACTTTATCAGTTACCAGTTAGGTCATCAGATAAAATCTAGCTTTTCAACCATTGCACCAAACACAATCTAAGAAACTTTCATATGTTACAAAACCAACATCCAATCAAGAAACTTTCCGGCTCAATTTTCAACCTCAAATCACATATCTATATGTAATGTACAAGATTATACGCGATCGAAAAGATCTTATAGCAATTATTTACAACAAAAATTTTAGTTTTTCATATAAAAATGAAACATAGCTATGTAAAGGAGATGCTAGCTTTCCAAAAGGAGGTCTTAATGTGGTCAGGCGTAGGAAGAAAGCTTAACCCAAACAGTTCTTTTGGCGTTTGGTTTAGTTCAACAATACCAACTAACTTTGCAACCATATCCGCACTCTCTTTGATGTGATCAATGTCGTTTGTTTTTGACCATAGTAAACGTGACAATTGTACCCTTCTATGTTTTGAGTCTAATGGAATCCCCCATTTTCGAAAAATGAGGTCTCTTTGAGTTGATGAATATTTTTTTAAGAGTTTCTTGCTCAGCATTATTCTTTCGCGACTAAGAGCCCTTTCACTGTTAAATTTGTAATAATAGTATTAGCAATTTAGTATCATGGGGAACCTAGAAATAAAATGGAAGAAATAGCAATGTACTTTTATTTGTTTGTTGATTATAGCATTTTACTTTTATTTTTTTGTGTTAGAATAATGTTAACATCTACTCAACTATAGCAATGTGTTTAAATAGGGTAAATCTCAAAGACCTTATATATTGTGTGTTTTCCGGATTAAACCACAACTTTTTTTTTTCCTGAACAAGACCTTGCATTTTTCCATTTTTTAAGTATGACCCTTTTAGTATTTTCTTTTTTCGGGTTAATCTCATAAAGACCTTATATTTTGTGTTTTTTCGGATTAAACCTCAACTTTATTTTTTGCCTGAAAATTGTATTTTTTCATTTTTTCCAAAAAACCATCAACTTTGTCTTTTTTTTTTTCCAACAAAAATCCTCAACCTTCTAACTTCTTCCAAATAAACCCTCAATTTTTTTTTTAGTTTTTCTCTAAAACACCCTCACATTTTACAACTTTTTTTTATGAAAAAAATGACAAAAAGGGTCAAATCGGAAAAAAAAAATACAAGGTATTTTTCTGGCAAAAAATAAATTTGAGGTTTAGTCCGGAAAAATAACAAAATATAAAGTTTTTTATGAGATTAATCTGAGGGTTTTTTTATTAAAAAAAACATTGAAGGTTTTACCGGAAACAATTATACTATACCGTTGAGGGTTTTTTCGGAAAAAATAAAAAGTGAAGTGGCTTTTTTGGAAAAAAAATGTAAAGTTTTTTTCATGAAAAAATGAAGTTTTATCCAGAAAAAAAAAAACAAATATATAAGGTCTTTTATGAGATTAACCCATTTAAAAACAGACTGGTTTTCACTGTTGTAATTTAGTAGTTTTTCATAATTGGGTAGATTATTCGAACTATAGTGTCTTAATAAGAAAAAAAAAAAAAAAAAACTAAACTACAATGTTGTAGAAAGAAATGTAAGTAAGATGCTATAAAAAAAAGACTAAATGAAAGTAAGATGCTATAAAAAAAATGAAAAAACAAAAGTAGGTTGCTATTTCTTGCATCGAGAATATGTAATGTACCTAGTGGCAAGAGAAGACGTGTTTTTCAGGAAAGCTAGTCTTCTAAGCTCCACCTCCATATACACCGAATCAGATTGTTCTCCTTTGAATAGCAAGAAAAAGTAAGTTCTATGAATCAAAGGCGTATTGCATTCATCCCAAAGTTTAATTATATCTCCTCTTTGTTTTTCAAACACCATTGACCAATCATTATAAGGTGTTATAGCCATCACCTCATTATTAACTTCTCCTGATTCATCACCTTTTACCTCAGCCTCCTACACATGTCATTACAATTTATATAAACAAAACTTCATTCTTTTGGTTATTTTTTGTGATTATGTTTAAATAGTTTATAAATTTGATAGAAGTTAAATTAAACAAGATGGATGCATAAATACCCTTTCATCATTGAATACATCTTCTAGTTTCCTGATTGGTTTATCAGTAGGAGAATTGTGATCAGAAACATCTCCTTCGTTTGATGATTTGATGCTGTTTTCTATTTCTTTTTCATCAATGATTGTGAGAGGATTATGAGTGTCTTCTTTCAGGTTTATTGTTTTAACATCCGCTTCTGATTTTGATTTTGGTATAATTTGTTTAATTACAGAAAAGTCCTTTTCAGATTCGTTACTTTTTCTACTCTCAATCACCATTTCATCATCAGATGGAGGAGCTGATGATGCAAACTCGTTGCAACTTTTGCTTCTTGTGAAACCATTTGTCATCCCTTCTGAATTAGATGAACATGGAGAATGAGAATGAGAATGAGAATGAGATTGTTCTAATTTTGTCTCATTCACGTCCTCACTTTCTTGTGTATTGATGACGTCATCATCGCTAGTGACGTCATCGTGTAGGGTTGATATTTTTGCCTTTTCTTCATTGGTGACGTCATCGTCATTGATTGAAATTTCCTCAAAGTCTCGATCTTCTATGAATGGTGTTTTTTCGAAATGCTGATCTTCCTTGAAACCTCTATCTGGATGTATTCTGAATTTGTAATCTGTGTTGTCGATATGTTGATCTTCATTGAAGTCGTCTTCTGAATTTATTCTGATTTTATCGTATGTGAATGATGTTTTCTCGATGTCTTCTGGATTTATTCTTATTTTTTGATACATGTTATCCGTTTCGTGATATGGGTCGGGTACGGAATATTCTTTCAAGAATATCCGAGGGGAGTTTTCATCAGGAGAGCGTTGACTTTCTTGACCATGTATGCGCAATGAAGCACCAACTCTAGGAGGCTCAACTACCTCATATGTGTCCTTATCCTCCTCCTACATAATAGGAAGGATTAAAATAAAAACAAAAAACTATATATTTTAGTGTAAAAAATTAACAAAATAGATTTCAAGGTTTTTTCTTTTGAGGAAATTTCTTTATGAAGTACCCACTACTTTTTTTTTTAAAACATTTCGATAATATATTTTCATTTTTTAACTAAATGATGATTTCATTTTGTAGAAAAAGGCATTTTGCTAGTAATTTTAACATAACATTTGGTTAATTTGTAATACAACCCCAATCTCTTTATAATTTTAGTGATTGAACACATATTTTATCTTTCTTTTTTACTAAAATGAAAAGATTACTCAAAGCATACCCATGGCAAAGAATTTCGATCTATTCCATTTACTTGCATTAAATGCTCAAGGCGAGTTTCAGCTAGATCACGTTGCTCAGTCAACTCTTCCATCTTTTCCTCCATCTACATAATACAAAATTAGTATCTGTATTATCTGTTCTGTCATGTCATGAAAAAAATGTTTGTATTATCTGTATTATATATGTTATTTGTTCTGT